TGACCCGCCCGACTCGAACCGGTGCGCCAGCGGCGTGTAACGCCGTCTAACGGCGTTGCCGTGTGAACAGTGCTGCCACGTCGACAAATGCGGGTCCCCCCTTGTCATAAACGCACTAAAAACGGTCCAAACAAGCAACTAGTGTTTTTTGCAAAAGTTTATGAAAAAAATTAGTGTTTTTTGGCACAATTTCGTATATGTGTGGTACCTGCAAACCTAGCCTGAAGTGTCGATGTTTTTTGCAATTCACTCCTCCTGCTTTAAAGCATCAGCAGCAAGAAGCTGAAGCAACTTGTACCCAACAACGATCAGTCCAGCATCTTGGCATTTTGTAGTCCAGTCCAGTGAGAAAGAAAACTAGTTACCGATGAATTCAATCAATTCCTTTTCACGGAGGTAGCAGCATGACGTTTGAAGTCAAGCAAGTCGTCAAATACTACTCCCTCCGTCCGAAAATACTTGTCATCAAAATGGACGAAAATGGATGTATCTAGAACTAAAATACATCTAGATACATCCCTTTTATTCATTTTGATGACAAGTATTTCCGGACAGAGGGAGTACGATTTGGCAACGGATACGATCTTGTGGAGCATCAACTTCTGAACAATGACTGAGAAGAACGTGAGCAGGGCTCAAAGGGCCTTCATGCCTACTCTGAGCTCCAGGGCCATCTCCACGCGCTGAAGTGATGTATTTTCTCGTGCCATCGACTGAATTGCAAGAAATTACCACATTTGGGGCTTATCTTGCAAAAAACCACCTGGTCGCTAATCATTTGCAAAAATCACCGCGCATTCAGTAAAAGTGTTGCAAAAAGCACTGAACAGGTGATTTAGCCTGTTTAACCATTTTCTGACTAGTGGGGCCGGACTGTAAGGAGCTGATTTGGCAACAAATTGACATATACCTCCCTGGATCTTATAAAAGAAAAGCAATCAAGCCCCCCCTCCCACACGGAGGGCATCTCCTTCCTCTCGCCGGGAAGAAGCAGGACGGCGGCAGCTGGGCGGAGCTGCAGGCGAGGATTGGCAGCGTGGCGGCGGGATCCGGCCAGGAAGGGCCTGCAGGTAGCGGATCCGGCGGAACTGGAGGCGGCGCGAAGAACTGAGAGGGGGCGACGACCTCGGCTCCTGCAGCAAAACAACGATGAGGCAGAGAAGTCGGCAGCGGCGCGACACAACCTCGCGTCCGTGCACTAGCTGCCGTCGGGGCTCGCGGGGTTCGGCCGCGGCGAGCCATCCGTGCCTGCGCAGCTCGGGGTCACCAAGTTCTCCTACTGCCTCCTCTCCCGCCGCTTCGACGACGCCGCCGCCGTCAGCGGCGAGCTCGTCCTCGGTGCCTCCTCTGCCGGCAAGATGCAGTACGAGCTGCGCCTCTCCCCGCGGGGGGCCGCCAGCCGCAACTTCTCCATGGGATGCAGCCTCACGCCCGTGCACCAGCTGCCGTCGCGGTGGGCGGGAAGAGCGTGGCGCTCCCGGCGCGGGCCTTCGCGCCCGTGTCCGGCGGCGGCGGGGGCGGTGCCATCATCGACTCTGGCACGACCTTCAGCTATCTGGACCCGACGATGTTCAAGCCGGTGGCGGCAGCGATGGTGGCGGCGGTGGGGGGCAGGTACAACCGGTCCAAGGCCGTGAGGACGCCCTGGGGCTGCGCCCCTGCTTCGCGCTCCCGGCGGGCGCCAAGACCATGGACCTCCCCGAGTTGTCCCTCCGCTTCTGCGGCGGCGCCGAGATGCGGCTCCCGATCGAGAACTACTTCCTGGCGGCGGGCATGGTCCAGGGGCTGATTGATTTTTTTTAAATCTACTAGGGGTCTGTGTATGATTATTTTGGGCCCCACCTATCGGATACGCCCTCAACCGTGCCAATCACCTGTTCAGTGCAATCTGCAACACTTTTACTGAATGCGCGATGATTTTTGCAAATGATTAGCGACCAGGTGATTTTCTGCAAGATAAGCCCCAAATGTGGTGGTTTCTTGCAATTCACCCCGTGCCATCGCTGAGGTCATAGGTGACGGCTATGCTACCAATCCTAAATCCAGGACAAATAGTAGTGTAGATGCAGTTGCACTCGACGGAAGGAAGCTTATCTGTGTCAACTAACAGGCACTTGCCATGACTTGGGAAGAGCGCACTGCTGCCGATACTTTTGATTGGTTCAAGTACCTTCCTCTTGGGATGCACACTAAAAACTTCAATGGTTCCTAGTTCCCCTGTAACAAGCAGCAGTTTACCGGCAAGCTTCAATGGTTCCTAGTCCCCTGTAACAAGCAGCAGTTTACCGGAAGAGTTTTCCACTAAGATTTTTCCACTTTGACAACAGTTTTGCTAGAGCACATCTAGATGTGTCATAAATATTGTACATCTAAGCCTTAAGTCATTGATCTTACGCGAGGATTCGTGTGGGTATTTTCTTTTCTTTTTCTTTTTATACTTGATTGAGTTACTCAGATGTGCCCGAAACACACCCGACAACAGTTTTATAGACGGATGTAGTATAACACAGGCCGGAATTTTTTTTTGGGTATTTTTTGTTGGGTTTTCGCTGATTTTGATTTGGTCCTTATTTTTCATTTTTATATTTTTAGTATGTTTTTTAACTTAATTTCATTCTTCTTCATTAAATCCACAAAAAAACCAAAATCGTGAACACTTTTTAATTCGAGAACATTTTCCAAAACTTTTAACTTTTGAAATTTTGTGAACATTTTTTCAAGCTCGGGAATCTTTTTAAATTTCGTAAAGAAAATTAAGTTGCCGAACATTTATAAAAAAAAATCCATAATTTTTTACAAAAATCATTGAATGCACAATTTTTAAAATACATTAAAAAACTGTAGTTGGTTTCTTTCTGAACCAGTGCGTTTTTTTTCAGACAATAAAGCCAACAAAAAGAGGTCGTAGCTAGCGTCGTTAGAGAGTGACTATTATTTGGAGCGGCCCGTCACCTGGAGGGTATGCACTCCCTACCAGCATCCCAATATCCAGCGCCTGAAGCACTGAACAGGAGTTCCGGTTCAATCCTCGGTGAAGGAAGATAGCTCAATCGTGACAGGGCGAGGCCATGGATGGGACAGAAGAAGAGAGGGAGGCACACCAACGTTGTGGAGGCTATGGATGGATGAGTGTCCAAGTAGGGAAGGCAATATGTCTCCCCATTCGCGCCGATCTCATCAACCTACTACCATCGCTTAGAACCGCCATTGTTAAGTCACCAACAACACCATACATAACAGGGTAAAGAAGGAGTAACTGACTTTTGTAATGTTCGTCATGTAGGAAGGTTGAAAAGAATGGAGCGGATAAGAACAGATATGATACAAATATACATGAGCCTTTTTTGAATACTTTTTGAATGTGAGATCAATACTTATAATATATGGTTTTTCAGGTACATGAACATTTTCCACTTCCCAATATATGTTATTGTTAAATGGATTCTTTGTAAATATTTTTGAAATTTATTAATTGAGAGTATATATTTCTGATACAGAAAAAAAAAGATGTCCTGGGGACCACGACATGTTAAACAAGATCAACACATACGGGGCATCGCCAGCATAGCACGGTGAGAGATGTCATTCTGAACCATGACAAGTTAGCCAGCATAGCACGGTGAGAGATGTCATTAGGAACCATGACAAGTTAGCCAGTTCCATGTTGTGCCTTCGATTCGTTAGCGCGAGAGAGACTCTGAACTGGAGCGTTGTTTTGTTTGTGCAGGGATTCAGTTTTGGAAGCCTGCACGGTAGCAGCAGGTTCTTGTTTGTTTACCAGTGATTCAGTGAACGAGAGAGACTCTGAACTGAGGTCAGGTGTTCATAACTGGTGGAGGACCATGTAATGTTTGACCAAGTCCATTGTCATCATTTTTCCTTTTTATTTCTGCCCTGCAATGACGTTCAATGCCATTGAACAACTATATTCTGCAGCAAGAACAATGCAAAAATTAATCTCAAACTTCATTCACATTCACAGCTTACAGTATTTCTTCACCAACGCCATGAGATTCGCACAACCAACCAAAGAAGAAGTGCCATCCAACAGCACAAACCTTAACCAACACATGCAAGGGCAGTCGCCAGCATAGCAAAGCGAGAGATGTCATCAGAAATTCAGAACCATGACACCCTAATCGGATCCGTATGATGCACATTCGTTTTGACAACGCCTGAAGCAATCAAAGAGAGAAATGAACAGCTTCCTCTCCCCCCTTTCGCATGAACATCTTAATTACTCCTACCAGATCCATCTATATAAAACAGCACTTGTGCTTTATTATTGGTCGCCCTTGGTTTACACTTGGTACGGTCTCCTATATAGTTCTATACCGGCAGCACATAATAAATCACAGAAGCAGAGAGGAGGGAGGAGCAAAAAAATAGAGAAAATTACAGCGGTGAATAAATAAATAAAATCGAAAATTACTGCAGCGCAGATGCCAGCTGAATGGATCCACTGAGCGCGTCAGCTCGGCGGATCTACCTCGCATTCTCACCCTCGTCCTCCTCCTCACCAGAGCAGGAGCCCGGAGAGCGCGAGCAGCAGCAGCGGCGGCGCCGCGGCGGACGACGGGACGGCCGGCGCCGAGCTCTTGAGCTGGGGTGGCGGGCTGTAGTAGTAGAAGGGGAAGTAGGGCAGGAACGGGTTGGGCGGCGGGGGCGTCGGGTACGCACCGCCTCCTCCTCCTCCACCTTGTCCTCCCTGGGACCCGCCGCCGCCGCCTCCGTACCCGCCGGTGGGCGGAGGGTAGAAGTAGCCACCGCCACCGCCGCCTCCACCGGAGGGAGCTGGGTAGGAAGTGGGAGGCGGGTACACCGGCGCCGCGGGGGTGACCTGAGCCGGGGGAGGTGGCGACGGGTAGTTGTATCCTGGGTTGGGGTTGCAGGGGTTCTCGCAGGAGGCGCAGAGCGTGCAGGTCGTGCCGTCCTTGCGCACGATGGTCACGCCGGCGTCCTCGGCGCCGGCCGCCCGCGCCGCATCGGGGAGCAGCGAGCAGAGGAGGAGCGGCGCGAGGAGCAGCAGGAGGAGGACCGGTGGGTGGGGCGCCATGGCCATGTGGGAGGGGTTGGTGATGGGGATGGGAGTGGGAGCCCGAGCGAGTGAGGGAGTGAAGCTGACTGTCTCGGGGTGAGGGGAGTACTTAATCCAGTGGGCGGGGGGCGGCAGCGGAAAGCGGGGCGGCGTTTGTCGGCCCTCCAGATCGACGGCGGATCCGTGGACGGTAGGGAGCCACGCCCACGCGTGGCGTGGCCGGAAGCTGCGCTGCGCTGTCCGTCGGTACGCGCAGGGGAGGCGTGCGCGGAGCAGAGGAGAAGGGAAGCGGTGGCTTTTGGTGCGGTACAGTAGGTGGTGGAGCGGAGCGCTGGCCGACCGCTGGAGCCGTTGTCGCTAGCTGACGCGTGCGGTGGCGGCGCACCGCTCGCGCGCGCGCGGTGCCGGCCAGCGCGAGCGACCTTGGCGTTTTACACATGGCCCTTTACAGTTTACACATGGGCACAGCGCGCTACGTCGGAGCAAGCCGGGAGCAGTTTCGCCGAGAGGCAAAAGGCCGAATGATTTGCGCATTTTGCGATTTGTTTAGGGAGATCGCCACGGTGTTCGCAACACGCCTCGGTAATCACTCAACCGTACCGCGTCCAGGGAGTGAAATGCTGCTTTTGATTCGAAAACAGTGTGCTGATTGGCGAAAATATAAATCGCGACAAGATGCACCGGACGCAGTGCTTCACAGTGGCAAAAAATCATCACAATGTGCACTTGCTCGTGTTTGCTTGCCTGCATTGGCCTAGTTCAGTCAATACAGTCTAAGAACAATTATCTGCACGTTGTTTGGTTGTCTACATACCCTCTAGCCTAGTTACAAATAAACGAAAGTCATGTTGTTTGGTTATGGGCTTGTTTAGGTAGAAACACAATTTAGGTTGTTTGGTTACATGCAACGCATATCGGCTGGTAACCTTCTCGTGGAGGTGGTTAGGTTACCAACACACTGACAAGCAAGACATAGATATCATACCAACAAGTTTAACAAACTATCAACCTTAAACATTCAATTTAAGTTAGTCAACGCACCAAGCAAGACATTATTAAACGCAGTTTGGCATGACCAAGCCATTGTTCAAGGCTAAACAGAAGCAATCCAGGCAAGATAACTATCTAGATATTCAGGGCGAAGACGTTGTCGTGCTTCTTGCACTTCGACACCACCTCCATGCCTTTGTCGTTGAAGGCGACCACCTTTAGGCTGTCGGGAGTCAGCTGACTGAGAAATGACCATGTAACTGATCTTGATCTGGTGAACATTGGCAAAAGGGCCCAACCCTGATCAAGGGTGATCCTGTCGTTCATCAACCAGACCATCACCCTCTAGGCGCAACCGGTGTTGGTCTTGAGTTTGAACTCTTGAGGGATGGCGGGGAAGTGCTTCGTGAAGTCCAAAGATCTACCCTTGGCACTGGGAACTAGGTTAGTAGTTTATGGCAAATTATTTCTAGAGACAAAATTCACATCAATAGCATCATTATTTTGCTTAATCAATGTAGATAATGGCACATCATTATGATCAACATGAGCATTCTTACTAGCAACCATTTTCATGAGAGCATCCATTCTATCACTCAAAGTATTAGTTTCTTTGACAGAATTTACCTTCTTACCAGTTGGAGCTCTTTCAGTGTATCATTGAGAATAATTTACCATAATATTATAAAGGACTTTTGTAGCTTCTCCCAATGTGATTTTCATAAAAGTACCACCTGCAGCAGAGTCTAGAAAATTTCTATAAACAAAGTTTAGTTCCGCATATTTTTTTTGTATAATCATCCATAAGCTTAAACCATGAGTGGAACAATTTCTTATCAATAATTTCATTCTCTCCTAAGATTGTGCAACATGTTCACGCTCAATTTGCTTAGTATTCATTATTTGATTTGTAAGAAAAATAATCTTAGCGGAGGAAAATACTTGGTTATAAAAGCATCTTTACATTTATCCCAAGAATCAATACTATTTCGAGGCAAGGATGAAACCAAGATTTAGCATGATCTCGTAGTGAGAATGGAAATAATTTTAACTTAATAATATCATTATCCACATCTTTTTTTCTTTTGCATATCACATAATTCAACGAAAAATTAAGATGGGATGCATCATCTTCATTAGGACTACCAGAAATTTTTTCTTTCATAACAAGATTTAGCAAAGCGACATTAATATCACATGACTCCGCACTAGTGGCGGGAGGAGCAATTGGACTACTAATAAAATCATTATTATTAGTATTAAAAAAAGTCACACAACTTGGTGTTTTCTTGAGACATAGCGACAAAGCAAGCGAACGAGCAACCGAAAATATTTTTGTGTTTTTGTAAAATTGTTTTAGAAGTGGGGGAGATGAAAACGAGAGGCAAAGGAAAATAAAATAAGAGAAAGTAGATGATAGTTTGTGCAAGGCTACTTGATAGGTTTTGGTGATGTCTCCTCGGCAACGACGCCAAAATTCTTCTTTCTACTTGTGAGTTATGTTGGGATTTCCTCGAAGAGGAAAGTAGAGATAAGTATTTCACTCAGTTAAGAACCAAGATTATCAATCCAGTAGGGGAACGACACAGAACCTCGTTAGCATCACCAGCACACACAAAAACAAATACTTGCACCCAATGGAAAAAAGAGGGTTGTCAATCCCCTTGGCTGTTACTTGCAAGGATTAATCTTGTAGTGGTGGATAGATAAATTGCAAAGATAAAATAAAATAAAATTGGAAAGGTGCAGCAAGGTATTTTTGTGTTTTATATATGATAAAAGTAGACCCGGGGCCCATAATTTTTACTATTGTCTTCTCTCTCGAGCACATAGCATACGGTGGGTAAACAAATTACTGTTGGACAATTGATAGAAAAGCGCATAGTTATGCCGATATTCAATGCAATGATCATGTATATAGGCATCGCATCCGAGACAAGTAGACCGACTCCTTCCCGCATCTACTACTATTACTCCACCCATCGACCGCTATCCAGTATGCATCTAGGGGATTTTGTTAATAAAAACAGAGTAATGCCTTAAGAAAGAATGACATGATGTAGACAAAGTAAACTCAACTAATATGAATAAACCCCATCGTTTTATCCTTAATGGCAACAATACAAATATGTGAATGTTCCCTTTCTATCACTGGTATAGAGTACCGCAAGATTGAACCCATCACAAAGCACCTCTCCCATGGAAGATAAATCAATCTAGTTGACCAAACAAAACAAATAGATCGGAGAGAAATAAAAAGTTATAACAATCATGCATAAATAAGTTAAGAGAAGAATCAAATAATTCTCATGAATATTCAGATCATAAACCCACAATTCACCGGATCCCAAAAAACACACTGCAAAAAATGATTACATCGAATAGATCTCCAAGAACATCAAGAGAACATTGTATTGATGATCAAAGAGAGAGAGAAGAAGCCATATAGCTACTAGCTATGGACCCGTAGGTCTGTGGTAAACTACTCACACATCGTCGGAAGGGCAACAAGGTTGATGTAGAGCCCCTCCTTGATCGATTCCTCCCGGCAGAATACCGGAAAAGGCCTCCAGATGGGATCTCGCGAGAACCGAAAACTTGCGGCGGTAGAGAAAGTGTTTCAGGTGGCTCCCTGTTGGTTTCCCGATTTTGGAGAATTTATAGAGTTGGAATTAGGTCAAACTGAGGAAAGAGGGGCCCACAAGGCACATGGGTGCATCCATGTGGCTTGTGGCCTACTCCTTAACCTTCTGGCCTCCTCCCGAAGCTTCTAGGGTCTCTTATGTCCAGAAAAAAATCGTCAAGAAGTTTCGTGGCATTTGGACTTCGTTTGGTACTGATTTCCTGGAAAACCAAAAACAGGCAAAAAAAACAGCAACCGACACTTGGCACTAAGTTAATAGGTTAGTCCCAAAAAAAATGATATAATACTGCATACAATTGCATATACAACATCCAAGACTGATACTATAATAGCATGGAACAATAAAAAATTATAGATACGTTGGAGACGTATCAAGCATCCCCAAGCTTAATTCATGCTCGTCCTCAAGTAGGTAAATGATAAAAAAAGAATTTTTGATGTGGAATGCTACCTATCATGTTCATCATGTAATCTTTTTGTGGCATGAATATTTAGATCCGAATGATTCAAAGCAATAGTCTATAATTTGACATAAAGACATCAATACTCAGGCATCCCAACAAACAATCATGTCTTTCAAAATATCAATGCTAAAGAATGCTATCCCTAAAAAATCATATAGCCTTGTCTTGCTCCATCTTCTTAACACAATGTATTTATCATGCACAACTCCGATGACAAGCCAAGCAATTGCTTCATACTTTTTAACGCGCTTCAGCTTTTTCAACCCCCACGCAATACATGAGCGCAAGCCATGAATATGGCACTCTGAGTGGAATAGTATACGGTGGTAGATATTAATATGAAGAAGACAAAAAAGGAGAAAGTCTCTAATACATCTCCAACGTATCTATAATTTTTTATTGTTCCATGCTATTACATTATCTGTTTGGATGTTTTATATGCATTAATATGCTATTTTATATTATTTTTGGGACTAACTTATTAACCTAGAGCCCAGTGCCAGTTTCTGTTTGTCCTTTTTTTTGAGTTTTACAGAAAAGGAATACCAAATGGAGTCCAAACGGAATAAAACTTTCATGATGATTTTTCTTGGACCATAAGACACACGTAGGACTTGGAGAGGAAGGCAGAAGAGTCCCGAGGGCTCGACAAACCCTCAAGGCGCGCCCTAGGGGGGGACCCGGGCTTGTGGGCCCCACGGGAGTCCTCCAACCCTAATGTTTGGCCTATAATTTCAGAAATATTCCCAAACCACCAGAAGTGTCCACCAAAATACTTTTCCGCCGCCGTAATCTTCTGTACCCGTGAGATCCAATCTTGGGGCCTTTTCCGGCATCCTGCCGGAGGGGATTCAATCATGGAGGGCTTCTACATCAACTCTACTGCCCTTCCGATGAAGCGTGAGTAGTTTACCACAGACCTATGG